TAAAATTTAGCTATATTCAAGGAAACTATATCATTCTGATCAGATAGCAACAACCACAGAATTTCCAGGATATTTTACCAAATGAGGAGTTATTAAATGGATCCGTGAATCCTTATAGAAAATACAGTATAGCAGGACATGTACTGTAGTTTCAATAGCCCCCTAGTACATCATATCTATAACCTATTACCAACCTTAGTATATGCATCAGTGCACATACATTTGTAAACCTGCTTTCTGTGTAAACCTGTTTGGAAAATCTGTTTTCGTTTTTTGTTTATAAGCAAAATTCTGGGACATAATTGTAGATTCTATTGACATCTACAAGAAATGTCAACTATTTGATAGAAATTATATTCATTCCTTTGGAAAGCACTAAGTCAAATATAAAGCATATGCTTATAATTATTATTCTTTTCAAAGAATTAACACTCTGAAACATAATCATAAGATTACGGTTGTGTGTGCACGCATTTGTGTGTGTGTTTCAAGAATAACTAGTTTCTTATAAATGACAAAAGAAACAGAACACTCACCTTTTACTTCTGCCTTCTCAAATAGCAGAGAGTCACTGAGTCGTGGTCTGGTCTGGGTTTGTGGGAAGATGATGTGGTAAGATCAAGTCCTGAGAAATTTCTTGGTGTTTTAGCACTTCATATAACATCTTCTGAATGCAAAACTTTGTACAGTAGCTAGGTGTAATTTATTTTTGAGGAAAGGGATTATGTTTCAAAATCCCTTACTGAAACAACTAATTCATCATTCATGCCATTTTCAAGAACAAACAGAAAGTTGGAATAGTTGATGCGGTTTCTTTTACATATAGGAATAAAAGAAAGGAGAAGTTTAAACTCATTAACTACACACAAAATAGCTTTTTTATTATTTATAGCAAAACGTAGAATTTTGTTTTATAATGCCAAATGGGTTTTCATATGCAAATGCTTTGCTATAATTATTTTGTATGTCCTCAAAAGGAAAAATAAAGAACTGAGGCTAAGAGGAAATTATTTGTTCAAAAAGTTGACAGCAAAGTCATTTGACCCAATTGTCCTCAGCTGAAAACAATGCAACAAGTCTTGCCTAATGACTAGAAAGATTTTCTTCTTTATTAATTATTATGTTAAAGTAGTTATGATGTAGTGTGTTCTACATGCAGTAATATATTTATTTTAAATCTACATGGACTGCTATTGTTATAGTGTAAGTTATTGATGGGCATTTTGGGTAGATTATCATACATTTGATCACAGTTTAACAGCTCTTTTTTTCTTTCTTCAAAAGTATTTCAGAAGCATCCGTGATTCTGGAGACTGGTGCTTTGCTTTGCAGCCTAATTTCCTTTTTAATTTTTAAGGTAATTGTTTTTTTAAAACTAAGAACTACAATGGATGTTGATCTATGGGCATATCAATGTTCCTGGACATTGTTGGAGATTTCAGGTTTAGAACAAATCACTATTTGGTTTTATGGAAATTAAACATGCTTGCATTTTTCTCATGTTTTGTGCTCTACTTTGATTTTAGAAAATGTTGGTGATGGGTAAGAGTACCTAAAAAAGGAAATACAAGAGCACAGATGCAAACAATGGGGAAAATGTCCTAAGTAATGGATTCAAGTTACAGGAAATCAGATTCCAGTTTAATATAAGAAAAAAAAATCTCTTAAGAATAAGAGGAATCTGATAGTCAATTGACCATTGGTCAGAGAAATGGTGAGCTTCCCTTCACAGAAAGTGGCCTTGATGGCCTGATCCACCCTTTCCACAAAGCAGTTTCATATATTTGGTATCTGAAAAAGTTAAGTCTTAAATTTTCTTTGAACCATTTAGTAAAACTCTGCTCTTGAGGTACCCACTCTTGCTTGTAGTGTTATTGTAATTATATAGAACCAGTGTCTTTGCTCAAATAAACAAGAGGAGCATGTTCACATATAAATACATGTTGATAGTCTGGAATGGAAAAAACTTCCTGGTATGCTCCTTTTTATTTTTATTTTTATTATTATCTTTTTTTAATAAGATACAAGGAAAACATATCATGCTTTCTTTAACTGCCTAATTTAAACCCATATCATATGATTTGACATACACTTGAAATTATATCAAACTGGTTTAATTTCTGATTTGGGTGATGCAATATAGAAGTTGAAGTTTTTTCTGTGTTATTTGTCCCTCTGGATAAGATTTAGTTTCAATTTGAATTTTCTCCCAAAAATATTAAAGGTTCCAGGATATAAATCTGATTCTAATAAGAAAGAATTTGTGTCACTTTGCCTTTGTTATCCCCAAATCTGTCATAGGGAAAATATCTACATAATTTGTCTATTATGCCAAATAGTAATTATTTTATTTCCTTTTGGCAGTTATAAACACTATTTTCAAAACCTGTACAAAGAAGTAAAGATGAAGAGAAAACATAGGGATTAAAATTGCAAAATTGACTTTGCCAGCCAGTACATCAAAAATTGTATGTAATGAAATATATTTTGTCTGGCACACTTGGGCCCTGCAGATTTTGGTTCTGATTCCAAGAAGGTGTTTTCAGAGAGTGTGGGGTACATAAACGTAACATTGATCTGCAACTCTTTAAAGCAGCCATCTTTCTTTCGGGGATCACACAGTAACTCAGCATGGGTCTTGGTATAGAAGTTATAGAGGGCACAATTTCCTGAAAAATGGAAAAATACAGCATAACAGAATCTCCCAGCAGGTGAAGTGAAACAATGAATCTTGTGCATGAAACATAATGAAACACTGGTTTTCTGAACTGCTTCTCACAGCTCTTACTTTTCTTTACTATTTCTGTCTTTCTCATCTTCTCGGTTTACCCTTGTCGTGTTATGCTCTAGGACAAACAATAGCTCCCAGTGAGTTTTCTATGAAATATTGCAATGTAAAAAAGCAAGTCTGAATTGTCTGAATCCTTATACATGCAAACTATGTAATCACTACTAAAGATATAAGTTTTCATGTTGCCCAAGAAAAAGGCAACATGAAGAAAATGCTAGTTGTTAAGGCTCAATCAAGCAAGGTCAGGTTGGGGGCCATATGAATATCTGGAAGTGACATTGTTTAATCAAAGGAAGTCAGAACAGGCTGATTGTGCCCCATTTTCAGGATGGACAGACACTATAGAAGACAGGTAACCAGGTCCTATGCCATGAGAGGCTTTATAGGTGATAACCAGCACCTTGAATTGTACCCAGAAGGCTACTGGTAACAAGTGCCGTTCATGAAGCAGGGGTGTTATGTGAGTGTGTTATGACATGCCCATAACTGCCTAGCCACTGTGTTCTGGAACACAGCTTCTAAGTGGTCTCCAAGGGTAGTCCCAAGGGCATGTTGCAATAGTCAAAACATGAAATGACTAAAGCATGAGGGAATGTCTGAAATGTCTGAAGTGTCTCCTGGTCCAGAGAGGGGTACAGCTAGATGAATTAGGGTAAAGGTTTTCTAGGTCACAGCTGCCACCTGCTCCTTGAGCAGGAGCTATGAGTCCAAGAAGACCCTCACATTGTTCACCAATCCCAAAGATATAAGTACAACCCATTCAGGAACAAAGGTGAACACTTCTAAACTTTGGTTGTACAAATATCCACAGGCACTCAAACTTGTCAGAGTTGAGCTTGAGTCTGTTCCTCCCTGTCTAGATCTACACAGCTTCAAGATAGGCTAGCTATTGAATTAAGTGTCATCCATATGATTTCATTTGTAGTGACAGTTCAAGGCTCATTTTGAAAAAGAAGCTAGCAACAATATGAATATACAGTATCATGTTTCTGTATTCATTGAGAAGACACTGGAATTCCTAATTTAAAGTAAAAATAAACTATTTTTATAAACTTGTATTTATGCTGGAAATATAACAATTCAGATTCAGTTTATTGTCCTTAAAATGTTAAGACTTCTTCTAGGCAAATTGACTTCTGTGACTTTATAGATATATGAACGTATATTCTTGGCCACAATATAGAAGTGGTTTACTATTTCTTTCTTCATATACTGTATATACACGTACACTTTGTAGTCTAGCCTGTGGCTCTGGGATTTCCTTCAGTCAAGTATTAACAATCCTG